TGGTATGTGTTTCAGTTCATGGGGCACTGGCACGAGTGTTGGGGTAGAAGGGAGCTTCTCTGATGGGATGGGCTTCTCTTGAACCAGGCTGGCACAAATGCCCCAACAAATCAAGTAACTATGGCTGCAGCAAGGGCTCTAAACTACACAGAAGAGGGGCTCTGAGAGCAGATGAGTACATTTAGAAAGTGAAAGCATTTGGTCACATTACAAGACAGCCATTGAGAAATACTCATACCCAGAGTGGGACAGGAAATGACAGAGTATACAAAGATAAAAAGGCTGCAGCAAATAGGGTTGGGAGCAGGGGGAAATGGTAAAAAGGCAAAATTATTGGCTTTTTACTTGAATGTGCATAGTATTCAGAATAGCATAAGTGAGTTAATGGCACAAATAGGGATTAATGGGTATGATCTTAAAGCCATTAGAGACACACCTACAAGGAGATCAAAGCTAGAAGCTAAATACTGAGGGGTATGTGACTTTTCAAAAGAACAGGCTGCAAAAAAACACAGGTGGCTTTGTTAGTAGAAATGGAATAAGTACGAGATCAAGAAAGGAGCTTTGATCAGATGATATAGAATCTGAGTGGAGGTAAGAAATAACAAAGGGAAGATGGCACTGGTCAGAGTAGTCTAGAGACCCCAAAGAGCAGCTTTATTGTGGGACAGCATATAAATCAGGAGATAATGCAGGCATGTAAAAGAGGCATTACACTAATCATCCAGAGATAGCAAGAACTGCAGATGCTGGAGTCAGAGTCGATACAGTACAGAGCTGGAGGAACACAGCAGGTCAGGTACCATCAGAGGAGCGAAAGAGTGAACGTTTCTCAGTCCTGAAGAAGGGTCTGGGCCTGAAACGTTGACTCTCCTGCTCCTCTGATGCTGCCTGAGCTCCTGTGTTCCTCCAGCTCCACACTGTACATCAATTACATTAATCATCAGTGACTTCAGCCTTCATGTAAACTGGGAAAATTAAACTGGCAGATGTAGCTATGAGACAGAAATCACACAGTAATTGGGGCAATTTTCTAGAATAATATGTCATGCAGCAGGCGGTAAAGAAGGCAAATGGTACGTTGGCCTTCACTGCGAGAGGTTTCAAGTACAGGAGCAGGGATGTTGCAGTTGTACAGGGCCTTGGTGAGACCACACCTGGAATATTGCGTGTAGTTTTGGTCTCCTTTTCTGAAGAAGGATGCTCTTGCTCTCAAGGGAGGGCAGCGAAGGTTTACCAGGCTGATTCCGGGGATGGCAGGTCTAACGTATGAGGAGAGATTGACTAGGTTGGGATTGTTTTCGCTGGAGTTCAGACAAATGAGGGAGGATCTCAGAGACTTATAAAATTCTAACAGGACTGGACAGGGTAGATGCAAGGAGGATGTTCCCAATGGTGGGTGTGTCCAGAACCGGGGTCACAGTATGAGGATTCGGGGTAGACCATTTCAGACGGAGTTGAGGAGATATTTCTTCACCCAAAGAATGATGAGCCTGTGGAATTCATTACCACAGGAAGTAGTTGATGCCAAAACATTGAATGTTTTCAAAAGGCAACAAGATATAGCACTTGGGTCGAATGGGATCAAAGGTTATGTAGAGAAAGCAGGAACAGGCTATTGAGTTGGATGATCAGCCATGATCGTGAACAATGGAGGAGCAGACTCAAAGGGCCGAATGGCCTCGTCCTGCTCCTATCTTCTATGTTTCTATAAATCTAACCAGGGATCAGGCTATTTTCAACCCAGTAATGTGTAATGAGGCAGGTTGAATAAATAATCTCAGAGTAAAGGATCCCTAGGATCAGTGTCCATAACATGGTAGAATTCAGTACTCGAAACGAGAGTGACAAATTGGGTCAGAAACAACACTGTCATACTTAATTATGGGTAATTTCAAATAAACGGGCACTGAGTTGTCTAGAGTGGACTGGGAAAGGAGTTTAGCCACAAAGATGGTTGAGTAACAATGGCAGACATTTAGGAAAATAATTCACAATTCACAGCAGAGGTACATCCCAGTGAGGAAGGAGGATTCTAGGAAGGGGATAAATCAACCATGGTATTAAGGACAGTATCAAATCCAAATTGAAAGAAAAAAAAATACAATGTTTTTGTGGTAAACCAGAGTATTAGTAAGGAGGAGAAAAAGCAACTTTGAGAGCAAACTATAAAGTAATATCAAGGAAATGGTAGACGAACTGAATAAATATTCTGCATTAGTCTTCATGATAGAAAGCACTAACAGGATTCCAAAAATACTAAATAATCAATGGACAAAATCAGGGGTGCAGGGGAAATAAATCACTACAGAAAAAGTACTAGGTAAAGCAATGAGTCTAAAGGCAGTTAAATCCCCTGGACTTGATGGGATGCATTCTAAGTTATTAAAGGTAGTAGTCTTCCAAGAATTCCTAGATTTTATAAAAGTCCCAGAGGAATGGAAAACTATCAATGTAATAGCCTTATACAAAAAGGGACACAGTAAACAAAAAAAAGGCAACGACAGGCCAATTAGCTTAACATCCAGGAGAAATTACTGCAGATGCTGGAATCTGTACTGAAAACAAAAAATGCTGGAGATCATAGCGGGTCAGGCAACATCCAGGGAAAGAGAAAATTAATGTTGAGTCTAGATGATTCTCCATCAGAGCTCAACACTATCATTGGGAAAATGTGAGAGCCTATTATAAAAAATGTAATAGCAGAACATTTGGAAATAAATATGTTCAAGCATAGTCTGCAAGGCTTCACAAAGGGGATATCACATCTGACACATTTATTCAACTTCTTTAAACAGGATAGATAAAAGGACAACACATAGATGTAATATATTTGTATTTTCAAAGGTGTCTGATAAGGTAACACATGCATGGCTACTTAGTAAGACAAGAGCCTGTGGTGTTGGGGTAGCACATTAGCACAGATACAGGATCGATCAAGTAATAGAAGGCAGAAAGTTGGGATATGGGGGGATGCAGTTTAAGGATAGCAACTTGTAACCACTGAAGCACATGGATCTGAGCTAGGGCTACAATTATTTACAATATATGTTAATGAATTTGACGGGGCAAGTGAATGTACTACAGCCAAGTTTGCGAACAACACAAAAAAGGAAAGACGAAACGTTGCAGAGATAAGGACAGGTTAAATAATTAGTCAAAAAAATTGGCAGATGGAATATCATGTGGGGAAATGTGAGGTTATGCACTTCAACTGGAAGAACAGAGAAGCTGAACGTTATTCAGCATATTGTCTATAAGCATATATTTTGAGTTCTCTAACCCAAACGGTGCTGATGCTCCTTGTGCATAAATCACAAAAAGCTAACACACAAGCTCGACAGGTAATAAGGATTCTTGGCCTCTAATTCAAAGGGAATAGAATATTAAAAATACTCTATTGTTTACTTTAACCATATAAGGCATTAGTCAGACCACAGCTGTTTTGGTCCTGTTACCCAAGGGTAGACATACAGGCATTGGAGGCAGCTCTGGGTATGGAGGTTTTTTTCTTAAAATTCATTCGAGGGACATGGGCAACATCCTTAGCTGTCCTTGAACTCAGTGACGGGCTAGGCCATTTCAGAGGGCAGATGAGATTCAACCACATTGCTGTGGGTCTGGAGTCACATGAAGATGGCAGATTTCCTTCCCTAAAGTATATTATTGAGCCAGATGGGTTTACGGTTTCATGGTCATCATTAGATCGTAGATTCTAAATTCCAGATATTTTATTGAATTCAAATTTCGCCATCTGCTGTGATGGGATTTGAACCAGAACATTAGCTGATTTTCTGGATTAATTATCTACTGATAATACCATTAGGCCAAAGAGGAAAAGGTTGAATAGTTTAGACCTGGACTCATTAGAATTTAAAGGAAGAACAGGATACTATATGAGAACATAAGATTTTGAGGGATCCTTACAGTATAGATAGGGAGTGTTTTTTCTTTATGTGAGAGTGTTAGACCAAAGGGAATAATCTCAGAATAAAAGGTCATCCATTTAAACCAGAAATGAGGACTTTCTTCTTCTAGGAAGTAGTGTATCTGTGGAACTCTACTGTAGGGAGCTGTTGAAGCTGGGTCATTAAGTATTTTCAAGGCTGAAATTTACAGATTTGTAATCAGTAAAGGAATCGAGGGCATCATAGGAGCAGAAAGGCTGACGTTTCGGGCCTAGACCCTTCATCGGAAAAAGCCAGCCCTGCACCTTGCTGTCTCGGATTCTCCAGCATCTGCAGTTCCTACTATCTCTGAAGGAATCGAGGGTATTGGGGAAAAGGCTAAAAAAAAGTGGAGTTGAGGATAAGCTATAAACTCGTGAAACAATAGCACAGACTTGATAAGATGAATTGCTTAACTCTGAACCTTTATTTTAAGGAAAAACTCAGTTCACCGAAAGGATTCTAAATCTTTGTGGGGTTCTCTAACCCAGAGGCTGTGGAGGCTTAATCGTTGACTATATTTATGCCTGGGGTAGACTCATGTTTGGGCAGTGAATGAACAGAGGGATATGGGGAGCGGGATCAGCGCGAATGGTAATAAACATCAGAGTGATCCCTGGCTGCTGTGTCTGTCTCTCCATGATTCGGCGCTACACAAACGTACATTACTGCTGTGCAGGCCACTGGAGCCTCGGCGGCCGAGTGCTGCCGGGGCCGATGGCCAAGTGCTCCCCGGGCCCTCACCCCAGCTCCCTTCTATCCCCCGCTCTCACCATCCTGGGCCCGGTTCGCTCTGGAGCCTGCCTGTCCGCTTCCCTGCAGCTCGCCGACGCCTGCGGCCTTGCCCCCGCTCGATCCTCGGTGTCGACCCGAACCCAGATCCCGCGGCCGGGGACCTGACGTCAGCGCGCACTCCCGCGGGTGCGAGCACGGCCCTACCACCCGCGAGAGCGCGCGCGCTATCTTAACGGGAACGGGGCGGGTGGGGGGACGCGCCTTTCTTTCTTTCGCCCCCTCACTTCGCGGGGCCCAGCCGCCCGGTTCCTTGCTTACCTCAGGTGGCAGCGCTGGAGGTACCGGCCGGCCAAATGGGCGGGTGACCCGACGTGAGGGCACGCGGCTCAGCTCCCCCACCGAGGCCCGGGCTCCTTTTTGTTTTTCCTCCTCCCTCGGAGTCTCACTAAGCCGCCATCTTACAACCAGCCCGCCTCCGCCAATCAGCGCCAACCCCCAGCCTCCACCAATCAGAGCCGCCCTCCCACTTCCACCAATCACCGCCGCAGACCAACAGTAACATCGCGATATTTCAGTGCGAACCCAATGTCCCTTAAAGGGGTCGCGCTGCCTCTTGTCGCCGTGGGAACAGCTGGAGGGTTCAGCCTCTCACAGCTTTCTTATTGCTTATTCCAATCATTGTCAGTCTGCATCTTCCCTGCATTTAATTCCACCTTGTTTCCATTTCCTTTCATGTCAGTCATTTGTTTGACTCTTAAACAAAACGAAAGAACTGCGGATGTTGTAAATCAGGAAACAGAACAGAAATTGCTGGAAGAGCTCAGCAGGCGTGGCAGCATCTGTGAAGGAAAAAACAGAATGAACGTTTCGGGTCCAGTGACCCTTCCTCAGAACTGCTGTTATGGGGAGAGGGTAGCAAAATGGCATTAGTTGAATTGATCAAATTGAAGACCAGTGTAAACATCATTGGGTGAATGGCCTTCATGTGTGCCATGACATATCTGTGACTCAATGAGAGATAAATAATGGCCAGGCCATTCAAATAGCTCCCATGATGTTCAGAAATTTCAGAACATACCGATGGATTGTTTCTGAGGAAGGGTCACTGGACCCGAAACTTTAACATCTGTTTGACTCTTACCTACCCTCTGAAATGGTCAATCAAACCCCATCCCCCGCCGCTCAGTCCATGGAAAAAAGCTAGCATCCAAGTTCCGTCGGTATTAGGGAAGACAAATGGAATGTTGGCCTTTATTTCAAAAGGAATTGAGAATAAAATTAGGGAGGTCTTGCTAAAAGTGTACAAGGCACTAGTCAGACCACAGCTAAAATACTGTGAAGTTTTGAGCCCTTATCTAAGGAAATACATAACAGCATCAGAGACAGTCCAGAGAAGGCTGATGGCAGGTATGGGAGAATTGCCTTATGAGGAGAGGTTGAGTATATTGGGCCTGTACTCACTGGAATATAGAAGAATGAAAGCTGACCTTATTGAGGCATACAAGATTCTTCGGGGACTAAGAGTCATAGACTCTTCCAGCCCAGAAGTGTTGAAAGGTTGTTTTTCCTCTGTGGGAGAGTCTTAGGAAGACAGCATCATTTTAAAAGATGGGATTGCATAGTTAAGAGAGAGATAAGGAATTTCTTTTCTCAGGGCAGTGAATTTGGAATTCTATACCACAGAGTTGTCGAGGTTGGGTTATTAAGGCTCTTAATATCTTACTGGTTAAAAATCTCAGACTTTGAGGGCTATGGGGCAAAGGCAGGAAAGTGGAGTTGAGAACAATCACATCAGCCATGATCTCATTCGATGGCAGAGCAGATTGAATGGCATGAATGTCCTACTTCTGCTCCTACATCTTATGGGCTCACAAATGGCAACAAATGCTGGCTTCTCACGCACTGCCTTCATCTCATGAAACAATAAGGTAAAATTTTACAATCCTACAAAAATTCACAGATAGAAACAAAATGTAATTGACAAACTGAGTGGGCCTAGCAGCATATGCGCAGAAAGAAACAAAAGTAATGTTTTGAGTCCAGAATGAAACTTTTCTCAGAACCAAAAGGGTCTAAAAAAGTTACGAGATTTATGCTGTAAAAATGGCGTGAGTAGGAACTAGTGGGAAAAATCCGTCAGTATGTTCTGAAATTTCTGAACAGCACAGGAGCTATTCGAATGTCCTGGCCGTTATTTATCTCTCAACGAGTCACAGATATATGTTATGGCACACATGAAGGCCACACAGCCAATGATATTTGTACTGGTCTTCAATTGATCAATTCAATTAATGCCATTTTGCTACCGTCTCCTCATAACCCTGCATATTCTTCCTTTTCAGATAATGATCTAATTCCCTTTAGAATGCCTCAACTGAACCAGACTCTCTGTGCTGCAGACCGTAACCCTTTGTTGGGTAAATAGCTTTTTGTCATGGTGCTTTTACTTCTTTTACCAGTTACATTAAATCCGTGCCCTCTTATTTTCATTCCTTTCACAAGTGGATACAATTTATGTCTATCTACTCTGTCTCACATGTCGTGATCCTGTTGGCAAGATTGTGCCACAAATCAAGCCCCACCATCCCAATGGTTGTTCCAAATGTAAAAACGACCAACTGAAATCACTAATTACTTTATTTGACCTTACCACTATCTAAGGTTGAAGAAACTCACACCAGGTTTCAGCAATAAAGAAACAAAAATGATCAATTATGAGAACATAAGAATGAGGAGCAGGAGTAGGCAATTCAGCCCCTCAAGACTGCTCTGCCATTTGATATGAAAACAAAGGAACCAATTGGGATTTTACATTAGATAGTGGCTACACAGTTGCCAATAGGTTGGCTTTTAGTTCCAGATTTTTGTAGAATTCCAATTTCAGCATCTGCTATGGTGGGAATTTACCCATCCCCTCAGGACATTAGCCTGACATTCAGGATCACCAGTCCATCACATCATCAAATCCCCAGCTAAGAAAGTGGCAAATTGGATTATTTATTAATAATGTGCAAACTTGAACTATATCCCCTTTAAATCCAAACACACATTAGTTTGTCATTCATATAAACAATTTGAATGAGAATATTGAAGCCTGGTTATTAGTTTGCGCATGACATCAGTGGACAGTGAAGAAGGTTATCTAAGAATACAATGGGATCTTGATATACTGGGCCAGTTGGGGGCCAGTTGGCTGAGAGACCTAGGGGTGCAGGTTCATAGTTCCTTGAAAGTGGCATCACGGGTAGACAGGGTGGTGAAGAAGGCATTTGGCATACTTACCTTCACTGGTCAGAGCACTGGAATGTCATTTTGACGTTATACAGAACATTGGTAATGCCACTTTTTGGAGTACTGTCTGGTCATCCTGCTTTAGGAAAGACATTATTAAATTGAAAGGATGCAGAAAAGATTTACAAGGATATTGCCAGGATTGCAAGGTTTGAGTTACAAGGAGACACTAGATAAGCTGGGACCTGTTTCCCCTGGAGCGTCAGAGGCTGAGGGGGAAGGTTAAAGAGGTTTATAAAATCATGAAGGGCATAGAAAAGGTGAACAGCAAATGTCTTTTCCCTAGGATACGGGAGTTCAAAACTAGAGTGCATAGGTTTCAGGTGAGGGGGGGAAAGATTTAAAAGGGACCAGAGGAGCACCCTTTTCACAGGTAGTTCGTGTATGGTATGAACTGACAAAGGAAGTGGCAGATGCAGGTACAGTTACAACATTAAAAGACATTTGGACAGGTACATGAATAGAAAAGGTTTACAGTGATTTTTTTTTCTTTATTCATTCTCAGGATGAGGGCGTCGCTGGCCAGGCAGCATTTTCATAGAATTCACAGAATCCCTACAGTGTGGAAACAGGCCCTTCGGCCCAAGAAGTCCACACCGAACCTCAGAGCACCCACCCAGACTCATCCCCCTATAACCCACCTAATCTACACCTCCCTGAACACTACCAGCAATTTAGCATGGCCAATCCACCTAACCTGCACATCTTTGGACTGTGGGAGGAAACCGGAGCACCCAGGGGAAACCCACGCAGACACGGGGAGAATGTGCAAACTCCACACAGACAATCGCCCGAGGCTGGAATCGAACCCGGGTCCCCGGAGCTGTGAGGCAGCGGTGCTAACCACTGTGCCACCGTGCTGCCCTATTTATTGCCCATCCCTAATTGCCCAGAGGGCAGTTAAGAGTCAACCACATTGCTGTGGGTCTGGGGTCACATGTAGGCCAGACCAGGTAAGGATGGCAGTTTCCTTCCCTAAAGGACATTAGTGAACCAGGTGGGTTTTTCCAACAATCGACAATGGGTTCACGGTCATCATTAGAGTTCCAGATATTTTTATTGAATTCAAATTCATTTGCTGTGCCGGGATTCAAACCTGGGTCCCCAGAACATTATCTGGGTCTCCGGATTAATAGTCCAGCGATAATACCACTAGGCCATTGCCTCCCCTACAGGTGGATATGGGCCAAACATAGGCAAAAGGGACTTGTTAGTTTCGGAAACCTGGTGACCTCCCTCCCTCCTCCTCTAACCAACAGAAAAAGCCATTGTGAAGACCACAAGCAGCAGCAGCAGCAGCAGAGTGAGTATAAACCGACCAGAGCTCGGGGCACATTGAGGCCGAGTACAAAGCTGGAGTGACATCACAGGGAGGCCGTGACCTGATTCACTGGTAGGAAATCTGCACTGAATTTGAAAAAGCACTCAGCCAAGAAGTATCAATAATAAATGGCTGGACAGGGTGATGTGTTGTGGGAGTTGGCTGATCCCATTGTGAATGGCAGTGTCCACATCTGCAGCAAGTGTTGGTTGCTCCAGAAACATCAGCTCAGAGTTGATGAGTTGGAATCGGAGCTTCAAACACTGCGGCACATCCGGGAGGGGGAGAAGTACCTGGACGCTGTGTTCCAGGAGGCAGTCACACCTGGTAAGTTAAGTACTTCACATTTAGTCAGTGGCCAGGGACAGCAGGGTGTGACTGTAAGCGAGGCAGGTAGAGGGATCCTGCAGTCAGGAACAGAGGAGCCTCTGCTCTTGACCTTGTCCAACAGGTACGAGGCACTTTCTCCCTGTGTGGATGAGGAAAAGGGCTGCAAGGAGGATGAACCAACTGACCACTGCACCGTTGCATGGGAGGCCATTCAAGAGGGGGGAGCAAAAAGACAGGTGGTAGTTGTAGGGGATTTTATAATCAAGGGAACAGATAGTATACTTTGTAAGCCAGATCGAGAGTCCCGCACGGTGTGTTGCCTGCCGGTGCCAGGGTAAGGGATATCTCTGACCGGCTTGAAAGGATATTGGAGCAGGAGGGGGAGGATCTAATTGCTGTGGTCCACGTCGGAACAAACAACATAGGCAGGCCTAGGAAAGATGACCTGTTCAGAGATTATCAGGAGCTAGGAACCAAATTAAACAGCAGGTCCTCAAGGGTTATAATCTCTGAATTACTGTCCAAGTCACGTGCTAATTGGC